AGAGGAGACCAGTTGTAACTTCATTAACAGATCTGCATGTATACACAGTACATAACTCTCTATGTACATATACATTCTCTAGAATAAACCTCACAGAAGAAACCCAGAACCATTTTGATTAACACACATGGCTTTGATACTTGGGAAATATCTTTAACTGCCATCAGAAATTATGTTATAGGCTGGAAACTCCCCCACACCCTATACAAAATCTGAAATTATTATTTATCAATAATAATTACTGATTTTTATTGTCCTCTTGATTTCCTAAATTTAGGCCTAAGCAGTTCTTATTTTCAGGCTGACAAGTATTTCAGTATTTTCACTTCACAGACATTTCAGCAGCCCTCCCACAGTCTTTGCCTTTAGTTTAGAAAACGGGCCTGAAGTTCACAGAAGTAGGGGAAAGCTGACCAAAACAAAACTGTTCAAAAGCTGCTCCCCCTCGTACTACAGTAATTCCAACCGCTCTAGTTCATGAATACCAGAAGCAGCTACAGAGGGTTGTAAATAAACTTTGTAACAAACATACACAGTAGATTTCTGAGCTATAGAGAGGCAGGGGTTTTCCAGCTATTGTTTGCCCAGAGTATTTTACAAGAGGGTATACAAACACATTAAAATGAGCACTGATGGAAGTTGGTTATAGAGTTCTTGAAGAAAGACAAGGTTGGAGTGTTGGGCAAGACAGTCAACAGATGTTAATTCAATAGCTGTCCCCATCAACAGCAAGTTGGATAGACAAAAAAGTTGAGAGCAGACAATACAAACGGAGCACTCAAGGCTGGGTGGAGCATAGGAAACAGTATAGGCGGAAGAGTCAGCAATACAAGCAAGACAGACCTTGCATACAGTCATAAAGGTAAGTATTAATGCCTTTTTCTTTTGTAGAACAGAAATTAACAGGTTAATCCTGTACAGAAAGTAACTGCCATCATTTCAAGGACAAAAATCAACCGAAGTTATAAGGAGGCAAGTGTTTTATTGGATTCTTCACTGCTCTTAGCCTGGATTCATTTTTAGACACAGGCGTTTAGTGAACACATCCACTGAATCCTGTAACATCTACTCTAAGTGAATGAGCTACATCTTATAAAAAGCCACTACCCTTTAATTTAATTTTCGACAAATTAAAACCAAACACAGTCTCATCTGTGGCCATCTACCATCAAAAACTGGACTCCAGAACTGAGACAGACGCAAGAAAAAGTATAAACTCAACCTGCTTCAGAATCATTTGTGTTCAGTGTGGTACTTGCTCTGATCAACACTGCATTCAGGTGGGAATGCCATGAGCCACATCTGGAACAGGAGAGCACTTCTACAAGCGGCCCTTCCTAGGTGCTTCATCTGATCCCTATTGTACTCCCCAAATCCTTTGTTCTAAGGCCTTTCCTACACAACTTTAAGTCTAAGCATCAGTATCACCCCCATGATGCAGTAGTACCCGAGTGGTACAGTAATGCTCTTACAGAGCCACACTGTTCAAAAGGGCTTCCAAAATCTTGAGATGTTCTTTTATATGAACTCGGCACATGAAGAAGGGCAATGCAATTAAACCCATACAGTAACAGGAGTTACTGTACGGTGGGCACCAGAGAAAGCAGGGATTCTCTTTTCTTGTGTGTCCACCCATAACCCACTCTAACCAAGAAGTTATATGAACAAATAATAGCACTAAGCAACAAAACAGGGGGGGGTCTCTGTATTTCAGAGAATCTTGTGTGTAAAATACCTGCACAAAAATTATAATTCATATCTAAAGTGTAAATAAAATAAATTCAACAAGTGAATATCTAAGTCAATAAATTGAAATGGTTATCAGACAAAAAAATTCTGGCTTTGCAACAGTGACTGGTCACTTCTCACTGTCAGACAAATCAAGATCCACCCTGCAGAAAAATAAGCCTCAAAACAGAATGCGAGATTTGTTTCATTTCAGAAGGTTCCTGCACCATTAGATTCTTGCCTAAAGAAGAGACTTCATTGTTACAGCAATTAGTATTCCTCCACCCCAGCAAAACGCAAGCAAAGGAGAAAAAAAAAAAGCTATGAAAGGGTAATCTAGCCATTTCGCAGCTTTGCCTCCTTACTCCACCCAGTCTCTTCTCTGCTCAATGGCTGCACACAGCATCCATAAACATGGTAATATCAAAAGAAACACACAAAAATGAGATCCCTGAAAACAAGCTAGAAATTTGCAATAAATCTTTCTGTTTAAAAATATTTTCTTTGTTTAGTTCCCTAACATAATTTTCCTATTTAACAAAATTACTCCACGGGCAAATAACATTTTGATAGCAGACCCTCCCTCTTCCGAAAACCAGATGAATGCTGCACAATCATTTACAAAATGATCATCACTGAACACAGGTTCTTTAACCCCCATCTCCTAATACTATATAAACAATACTGTCACAGGATTATACACTTAAATAATCTCCACATAAATACATAACTCAGCCAGGTCAATATGCCCAAACATTTATTTACAGTAAAAAATCTTTAATAAACGCTATTTAATATAGCTTAGATTAACCTTCCACCATCCCCTGGTTAGGTAATTCATTATGAATTGACTTGACCTGCAACAACCAAGCCCTCTGCTGCAGCACTATCAGCAAGGAAATTTTACCAGTGATACTATGTCAAAGAAAGGGAAGGTGTCACATTAATATTGGTATTAAAGGTCAAGTCTAATTGCATCCACCTTAAACAAAACAAAACAAAAAAAAATCTCACACCCACAGAACTGAGTAAACCCTAAACTTTTTAAGGGAGGCACCACTCCCACCCCCCAACTTCCATCAAAAGCCCTGCCTGCGTAAAACCTCCTGCCGAAACAAAAACTCAAGAACAGCAATAAATAGATCATTTTAGCGAACTCGATTGCTATTAAAAGGTTTTCAAGGAAAGTCTGTGCGACTGTAGACAACCAGGCAGCGATATGACCCCAAGAAGGAGAGATTAGACCTCCCTCCCCCGTTTTTACTGCAGCTGGTTCTGAAGGTCTGAGCCACCTCCTATCAATGCTTTCCTTGCTAGATCACTGCAGAAAAACGGCGTGGATGTGAAACAAATTCTTAAAATAACACCTACTCCTTTCTCCTGTATTATCAATTCTCGTTTTGTTTTCCGTGCTGCGGCCGACTCTGGCGATCTGGGCCATCTCCTGACAAACGCCTGCCTTGCCCTCGGAGAGGACGGGGGAGAGGAGAACAGGAGGAAACCCTCCAGGAGGAATTCGGGGAAGGGATGCTCGGCATCCTCTCCGGCACACATACACCAGACTCCTCGCCTCAGACTATTTTTTTTTTGCCATTATTTGCGTCCGGCCCATCGCTTCCTCCCCGGTATCTTGCTAAGTCACCCGAAGAAATGAAGCGGCCTAAAGGGGGGGAAGGACGCGAAGGCCGGAGCCCACCGCAGGGGCTCCTCTCCCCCTCCCCCCACCCCCCTCCCCTGTC